CACCATCAACAGCCCTGAGGCTAGTCTGGGCCCCCTTGTGGGARCACAGGGCACACTGCTCTTCTTGCCCTCTCTGGACCTGAATTCCTCGCTTACAAAGGAGGAACAACRCCCCTTATGGCCCTGGGAGGGCAAGATGGCTATGGCAGCCCTGGTGGTGTCGCAGTGATGTGGGGCAGAAGAGGCTGGGCACCCGAGGGATTTTCAGGAAGCAGGTTTATTGGCTGCAGGGTCCAGAGGGGCTCTTGCCTAAAATTCTCTGGGCCTCAAGTCTGGAAATTCTTGGAACTTTATACCCAAGATGGGGGCAGCTTGGAGGTTTGCATTTTTGCAGAAGTCTACATAAAAGTATTTTTTTCTTGAGTTCACAGAAAGTGCTTGTAGTCCCATGTTTTTAGATTAGTCAGAAGTTTTACAACAAGAGAAGTGACATCATCAAGTCTGTGGCCAAACTTAGTTTTTGCAAGACAGAATAACTTAGTCCTCCTAGGAAAGAGGAAGTCCAAGCCCACGCTGAGTTCTTTGTAGAGATTTTTGTGGGTATTCTGTTACAAAGCTCTCTGATAAGAAGAGAACTCATATGTTACAAATGGGGGGGGCATCTACTTGATTATGGTACGGGACTTCTGGGAGGGGCCTCTGGTCTGCTTCAGCAGGTGCCCCTTTCTAGCTCCTGTTCTTCCAGAGAGGAAGATTGAGAACAGTCACCCAGCTGGAAGTCCTGGGGACATTCAGAGCAATGTGCCTGAGGCACTGTCCTTGGGAACCCTGGCCTGTGGCCACAGAAGCCCCAGGCCTTCAGGGTGCAGGAAAGAGGACAGCAGGGGGCCCGTTGTCCCTCCCACTCTGTTCACACCCCCTAGCCTCTGAGCATTCTGCTGTCCCAGGGGCCCCAGAACCTGGGGGGCCTGCCGCCCTCCAGCTGTGACTCTGAGGGCTAAACTGCACATAGGCACCTGTCAGTAGTGCCATCTCTCCTGGGCAGATGATAGCACCTGGAAGCTGTGCGCACCCTCACGGCCTGTGCCTGACACTCACCGGGAAACACAGGCAGGGGGAGGACTCATCTAGATGGAATCAGCTTTTCTTTTTTAAAATCAAAGAGACCAACAAKAACTTTAACCCAACCCTTCATTTCGTAGTAAAGGTAGGAAGGGAGTGGAAAGTGGCGTGCCCTGGTGAGGTCTCCACAGCTGGGGTCCACACCACATCTGTGCTTGYCCAGGCTCAGGGCTGAGGACCCGCTGCTTAGCTGATCGCTATCAAGTAGACCCAGTAGCAGGCCCAGTGCAGCAGCTGCCTCGGGTCACTGTGGACATAAGGACTGAGCCTAAGATTKCTCTGTGCCGCTTGGTGACCATGCAGGTGAGAGACCTGGGTCTGGTGGCTGTGTCCTGCCTCAGCATCCCAGCCTGAAGCCCCCCTACACCTGCGCCGGGAGAGGAGGGGCCAGGTACCAGCGCCTCTGTTCTTGGTTCCTCCCTAGCTCTGCTGTCCCTGGGCCTTGTCACTCCTGGGACAGCTCTCCAACTGTGACTCTGAGGGCTAAACTGCACACTGGCACCTGTCAGTGGCACCATCTCTCCTGGGCAGATGACAGCACCTGGAAGCTGTGGGCACCCTGATGAGTCACAGATTCTACTGCCAAGGCAGAGCCAGGCCTGCAGCTGCCAGAGCGAGGCAGYGGGACAGCTGGGCCCGGTTACTGCTGCTGTGGGGTGAACGGGAAGCCCCTGGGGGCCGMACAGAGCTGGCCGGGGAGGCCGCTGTGGGTGGTGGGTGCCTGCTGCTCTGGAGAAGTCCTGAGTGGGTGACTCTAACCTCAGTTCTGATTTCAGGTTAGTTTGGTTCTTTTGTGTTTTTTTTAAGCCATCAACTCACCGTTTCTGGGATTTTGTTTTTACTTTGAAAAGGGTCTCTAGGGATAGGCGCCCTCCTGGATCAGACCAGAGGGTGACCTCCAGATCTGCCTGCCTGACCAGCACAAGGGGCCATGTGGCCAGGGCCAGGTGTGCCCACCCAATCTGGGCCTGCGGAGTCAGTGCCCAGGAACTGTCGATCCAGATGTGGTTGGTCAGTGAGCTGCCAGGTCAGGAGAGGGCGGGACAGGAGGCTGAGAGCCAGCACCCAGTATGGCGTCTGGGGCAGAGGTATGCTCAGTGGCCTTGGAAGGAGCAGGACAAGGTCAGGTGCCAGGCAGGATGGCTCTGCTGAGACTTAGACACGGGGTCTCTGCCAGGGGCTCCAGTGCTGGCCATCCCACAGGTGGGCTTCCTGATAGTCTGCACCATCTAGAGACATGCCAACATGCCGTGTGCCAGGTGGGCCCAGGAGACCTCTGCAGACCAGGCGGGTGCCCTGGACGGCTGCATGTTTGCCAGCCGTGGCCAGGGACATCTGACTGGCATCCCAACTGAAGTTGGCCCAGGGTGACAATGACATAGGGCCTGATCGTGGCTGTGGTGTCAAGCAGGGGACCCAGGGGAGAGCTCTCAGGGAGGGATGCAGGTGACCTCCCTCTGCTCATGCCATGGGCAGAACTACGGCCCAGTGGTGGGCAGAGGAAGGGGGACCTGCTCCCCACAGGAAGCCAGCGCCCCACCTGGCCACCGGTCTGGCTGCTGCCCAGCCTGCAGCGGCCCTGCTCCCACACGCACAGCATGGCACCCGGTCTCCACTTCCACCTGCTCTCCCCCTCTTGCCCCTATTTGGAATGACCTCTTCTACCTTGTCCACCGGGCAGCTGACCCCAAATTGTCCCCATGGCCCAAATCAAAAAGTGCTCTTCAGAAAGCTGCCCCCAGCTGGATCTGCCCTCGGTGGAAGTCAGCAGCCTGAGTCCGGGCGCCGCTGTGCCCCTGTTGGAGTGGCACATGGCGGAGAGAGGAAGACAAGTGTCCTCTCCTGCTGATGGCCGGCTTGGGCTCCAGCCCYGCCCTGACTCTTCTTTCAGCAGCTCAGCGGTTGGAACGCCCTGGGCAGGTGTCCAGGGCCCTAGGCCCAGGTCCTGTGCAGGACGGACACCTGGAGCACTGGTTCTGATGGTTTAGGAGGGAGTCCAGGGTCTGCCTGTGCAGCTGGGACCCTCCTGGTCTCCTGAAGCCCGAGGGGAGCTGGCGGACCTCCACGGCTGGGCGTTGTCTCCATCAGGGTCCTTTGGTGCAGAGTCACCGTGCGGACCTGGGGCTGCACATCGCTGGGCATGTGGCACCTCCCTGGATGTCCCCGGAGGAATCACAGACTTGGGTGCCCTGGGGCAGTGCCAGGCCCATGCAGAGACCCCAGCGAGGTGTGAAACAAGGTGCAAGGGCAGAGGGCCTGACGCCTCCTGCCACCCACACAGTCTGACGGCCATGCGGTTCCTGAGGGCCGTGCTCCCTCCTGCCAAGAGCTGTGGTCACCCTACTGAACAGTGCGTGACAGACACCGCATGTCACACTGGTGCCTCTCCTCTGGAGAGCAGTTTGGTGGTCGCCCCCCAGGGCAGCACTGCTCTTTGCAGTGTGTCCTGGGGCATCATGCAAGCCTGAGTGTCACTCCAGGACTGTCTCTGCTTCACTGGCTCTGACGCCTGTCACTACACATTTCCTGAGTGCGGGGACGTGAGTGGGCTCTGCAGGCCTCCGCATGCCACTGCTCAGCTCTGCTCTGGAGCAGGTGGGGAGCTGGGGGGCTCAGAGCTTGGCTCGGCACCACCCCCAGACTAGGTCCCGCRAGACCCTGGGGAGGGCCCGAGAAGGGTGGGGACGCCAGGGGTGGAAGCCATTTCTGGGAAACATAAACAGAGCTTTTACAGCATGTTTTAGATGACACAGGTCCTGAGCCAGGAGGAAGGCCACCCTCTGGCTTGTTCTTAGGTGACAATCATGTTGCTGTCACAGCCAGCAGCCAGCGCTTCCAGAAGCCCATGGTACATCTGGTGTGAGACATGATCCCTGCCCTCGAGGTCCCTGCAGCATGTGGCAAAACTCGAGGTTGAGAGATCCCTGACGGTCCAGCTGTCACAGAGACCGTCACCAGGCGGCTGTGCTGGGGCCACACTGGCTGGGCCKACAAGGGGTTCTGAGAGGAAAGTGTGGCTGCGTCCCCGCCTCTGTCCAGCTCATGCTTGGCCATGCATTTTGTCCCCTCTAGGTTCCCCACAGACCCCAACAGTGCCTGGCAGACAGTTGGCACTCAGGAGAGGTTTCTGGACAAATGACAGGTCCTCAGCCTGTGCTGGGGTGGGATATTTGGGGTCCCTGGGGTGAGTAGATTCTGCATTAACAAAACTGCCTGGAAAGGAAGGAAAATTGAAAAGCAGCCGGGCATGATGGCGCCCTCCTGTCATCTCAGCAGGGGAGGCTGAGGCAGGAGGATGGCGAGTTCAAGGCCAGCCTCAGCAACAGCAAGGCCCTAACCCACTCATGAGACCCTGTCTCTAAATAAAACACAGAACAGGGTTGAGATGTGGCTCTGTGGTCGGATGCCCTGGGTTCAGTCCCCGTCCCCCACAAGAAGAAGAAAGAACAATTGAAAAGCAAACCTCAACCCTGCAGCCTTCACAGGCCCGGCACAGTCGGCACTCGCAGTGTCCCTGCCCCGCGAGGTCATGGCCGCGGCCTTCAGGTGCCCAGTGGCTGCTCTGTGCCTCGGCGGCCCTGGCGTGCTCTTTTCTTGTCTGTGGCTCTAATCGGCACTGGACACTGTCCTCCTTGTCAGGTGGTGGCCACTGCTGACTCCTGAGGGCCCTGCATCTGCCTCACCTTGTGGCTCCACGCAGGATGTCATTAAGTCCTTTGAGCCGCACTTTGGGACATTTGATCTTGTGGAAAGGCTCCATGGAAACGTAGGCCGCAAGTACAGCTGCTCGCTCGCGGCTTCTGCCCGTGCTGGCTGTTGTGTGAGAGGTACCTGGGAGGGACAGCAGGGGACCAGGCCGGGTACTGCGTGCCGCCTCGGCTCAGGAGGGCAGGGAGCCCACCCTGGCCCAGCCCCATGCATCTCCGTCCTCTCCCCAGGAGCTGCCAGAGCATGACGAGCCTGTTCAGTAGCACCGTGTYGCCCATCAAGGACGGGACCTCCTCTCTCCCCAGGAGGCAGAGCTCCTTCTCCAAGCCCCCGCTGCGCGCCCTCTACGACCTGCTCATCGCGCCCATGGAAGGGGTAAGTGCCTCCCGGGGACAGAGGCTCCTCGGCGTCAGGACACATCATTTCCTGGCCAGTRCCCCCGAGTAGCCCCCAAGACAGAAAAACAGCTTCAGAGGCAACCCGGGGTTTCCAGCGCGCGCGTGGTCCACGTCCAGCTTCCCGMGGCACTGGGGCCTTGGGGACGCGCAGGCTTGTCGGTGGCTGGCCAGTGCCCAGGCCCCGAGCTGCAGCATGGGGATCTGGGCTCAGGCCCTGGCTCTGCTCCCAGAGCTCGTCTCCTGCTCCAGCTGCCTGACAGAGGCCTGTAGCCTCCTGAGGAAACCACCTCTTCTTCTTTTTGGAACTGGGGATGGAATCCAGGGGCGTATAACCACTGAGTCCCGTCCCCAGCCCTATGTAATATTTTATTTAGAGACAGGGTCTCACTGAGCTGCTTGGGGYCTTGCTRTTGCTGARGCTGGCTTTGAACTTGCCATCCTCCTGCCTCAGCCTCCTGAGCCCCTGGATGGGCCTGGGCCTGTGTGAGCATGTAGGCAGAGACAGCAGATACCTGGTGAGAGGTGGCCACTGTGCCCATCACAGGGAAAGGAGAGGCCCTGCCCAGGCCTGGTGGGTGGCCTCTGTGCCCAGGCACCTCTTAAGCTGAGCTGCTGCCGGGCCCTCCAGCCTTCCTGCGCCACTGCCTCCGTGCAGCCCCCCACAGCAGCACCCCTCCCCCTAGGGTCCCCCCACAGGGTGGCCACAGCGACAGGGACACCCTAGCTGGCAGTCACTCCCCCTGACTCATGCCGCACCTCAGATGGAGAAAGAGACACTGAAACCTGAGCTGCCTTTCAGGGTTTCTTTCCTGCCACCAACTGTCACACAAACCACCTTGGTGACTTACCTCCAGCCTTCCCTCCAGTGCCCTCCCGCTGGCTCCTCAGGGGGTTTGACCCTGTGCCTGGCTCACCCAGGTCCCCACATTACTGCTCTGTTGATGGTGGGTTGGTGGTCGGCAGCAGAGGGCAAAGAGGGAGCTGGCTGTGACCGTCACCTCTGCCCTGGGCAGTACGGGGCATCTGGAGCCAGCCCCTCTCCTGGCCAGCGCCAGTGTGGCCTCTCTGAAGCCTTCTGGCATCTTCTCCACCTTCCTCAAGCCCCACCCCTCCCACCGGGCCCTGCATACCAGGAAGTCTGGTGGCTCCTGGCCGCTGACCAGACCCAGGACTCCCATTAGCTCTTCGTGCCTCTCACCCTCCATCTTGCCACCTACCCCACGCTCCCCTGAGGCAAGGACTGTCCCTCATCTCTGTCCCCAGCACACTCAGTAGTTAGTGGGTGGTGCGTGGTCCGAGGTGCCTTTGGTCTAGGTTGGCACAGAAAGCAGAAGACCAGGGGAGAAATCCTCTGCCCTCTTTCCCGCAGCCGCTAGTGCGACCCTGGGCTCAAGGTGTGAGGCAGAAGGCAGGCTGGGCCAGCTCTGGGGCACTTCTGGATCTGGGGGTGTCTGCCCCCAGCGGGACGCTGCCAGGTTTGGGGCTGTTTCAGGGCAGGATCGCGGCTGAGCGAYGTGCCTGCATGTTGACCTGAACAAGTTAGAGCAGCGGTCAGCACGGGAGAGGAGAGGCCTGCCAGCCGCCAGCAGCACCGGTGTGTCCACCACAGCTGACCGCCTCATCTCCAGATCCCCAGTTCTGGCATTTAAAATATCCCCTTCTTGTGAATCAAGGAGTTTAAGCACAGCGAGGGAGTCTGACTGCGTCAAAGGGGAGCGAAACCTTGGATCCAAAGATCAGAGCAAGAGCCAACAGAGACCATCCGCTGCCACAGGGCATGGGGTGCACCTGCGGTCCCAGCGACCTGGGGGGCCGAGTGGGAAACCAGCTGAGCCAGGAGTGTGGCCTGGGCCCCGTCTCAAAATAAATGAACAGCTGGGTGCGGTGGCACGTGCCTAGCAAGGCCCTGAGCTACTCAGTGAGACCCTGTCTCTAAATAACAAGTAAAAATGGCTGGGGATGTGGCTCGGTGGTTAAGTACCCCTGGGTTCAATCCCTGGTACCCCCCCAAAATAAATAAATAAATAACACAGATGAATGAATTTTAAAACTTAAAAATAAAACCATCCACATGTTTCAGTAAAAAAACGTTTCCCCGAGAAGCTAGAATCTAGTTAGGATTCCTCTCCTTCCCATTTCACCCATTCGTTCTATAAATATTTACTGGCCACTTTAGGAGCGTGCTGTCCCACACCAGAGCAGACAGTGTGGCCAGCATGGAGTGGGTGGGGGACCCTTCGTCTTGGGGGCCACCTCTCCTCCCCACTGGGCTGGATCCCTTCTGCTGCATRCAGCCCATGGGGCTCCCAGGGCCACGAGAGGGCGACGCGGCACCGCCAGCCGGCTCCCGGAGCCTGGCGCTGTGGGCGCCCGACAGCCAGACCCTTGTCCCCGTTTTCAGTGAGGCTGCAAATCAGACCTGAAAGTCCAAGATCATGAATCACTGACACTTCAAGACTGAAGCGATTAGCCTCTTCACATGGGGCGTATAATTATTCCAACAACCGCCTTTGTGTCGCCGCAGTCCTGGGTCAGGCAGTATGGAAAGTGGAACAGAATAATCCCTTACCCTAGGCCCCGCACCGGCCTTTGATTTCATTTGGCTCAAGGGTAGCGGCGTCTGGGCTCTTTCCTAGGACCGCTCTGTCCTTTGCTGTCAGGACGGAGTGAGCGTGTCCACTTACTCGGAGGGGCCTGTCACAGCTGCTCGTGAGCCATCACCAGACATTAAGTCAAAGCCCGTCTGATGCCCAACGGGGAAATGCCACCAGARGAAAAGTCCCGAGTATCTGGTGGTAGCGGGACTGGGATTGTGTGTCTACAGCGATATTTTTTAATCAAATTCGAGTGAAGGATGGTCACTGGGCTTTGTGAAAGAAAGAAGGGAGCCGTCCTGTCCCCACGACCCAAATGCTGACAGCGTACTTTAGAGGTGACTTGGGCTCTCCCCAGGTCACTCCAGCAGCATGTGTGACAAAGCGCTCGGTTGGGCCAAGTGAAACTGCTGGTCCACTTGTGCACCAGGTCACCCTCCTGGTCACAGACACCTCCTCCTCCAAGGTCAGATGCTGAAATCATCAAGGCCAGGTTTAGAGTCAGGAATTCCCAGGGTTTGGCCAGGTCACTCCTCAAAAGCCCAGCCTTAGACACCCCTCAGGATGTTGGAGTTGGAACTTGTTCCAGCTATAGACTCTGACGCCCTTGTCCTATTTCCCTATGTTTAAATTCGTTCCTGTTTGTGAAATCTCAAAAACTCAAGGTGTGGGCTGGGGAGCGCAAGACAAGAGACCCTGGTCAGAAAGAGAAGTGGCAGTTCAGCTGCTCCAGGCGAGGCTCCATGGCTGCTGGCTCCAGTGCAGGCCAGTTAGACTGGGGACTGCCTTCCTGCATGCTGGGATTTGGAGACGTCGCCCAGGGCCTCCTGCCTGGGAATACAAGCCCTCTGCAGTGAAGACCGCTTGGCTTGGCCTGGGTCCTGGCCATGATCACTCCAAGGAAGGAATCCCTTGGTGTCTTGCAATGTGCCCCTTGCAAAATCAAGTAGTGCAATAAAGAGCGGACCCTGGACACTCGCAGCGGGAGCGAGCCTGAACACTGGGTGCCTGTCTCCCAGTGGCCTGGAACCTGGAGGTAACCAGGGAAATTTTGCCCGTAGAAACAGACCCAGATTTGAGTCTGCCAAGGAGCTCGAGGCCCTAGGGACTGGCAGCCCTGCCGGCTGTCTAAGTGATTTCTGATTGAGACATCTGTGGGAATATGCAAATGAGGGCAGACGTCACCAAGGAGCCAGCATTTCCACGACTGATTAGGAGGAGGAAAAATGGAGGCGATTATCCGCAAGCTGTCTGTGGTTGGAACCCYGCGGGAGCGCCTGGGGTGGGGGCAGGCCCAGCCCTCTTGCTCCACAGGGTCATTACTGAGGTCCCCATCACCAGGGCTCTTGAGGATGGGCTGCTGCCTCCATGCTAATTGGTTGTGGTTAGAAGCTGGGGTCAGGCAGCCAGCGGGCTCCCACTGGCCATTGGCCATGTCCTTCTAACTCCAGCCTCCTGGTGTCTCCCGGTCCTCCAGGTCAGCCAGCGGCTGCGGGGTTGGCCAAGGGTTGCAGTGGAACCCACTGAGCTTTCCCCTGCTTCGAGCCCACGGCCACAGCCCCCCAGTGCCGGGAAGCTCTAGGGTTGTTTCCAGAAGGTGTGTGCTGTTTGCTGAACTAGATGCATCCACCATGGCAAGGTTTCTCGGAAGCTTTCAGAAAAGACTTCTCTACTGTCAACAATTCTGCTTGGTCAGCTCACTAGGTCACACACGAGAGTCGGCTAGACCTCCCAGACACCTGCACTTCTGTGTCCAGACTCCCCGCATCCCCTTCCCCTGGGGATCCTGGGGAGGTGTGGGAGTCCACAACATCCGGCCTAAGCAGGCCACAGCCAGGACCGGCTAGCCTTTCCCTGCCCCTTGGTGATCAGGGCTTTCATTCCTCTGGCTGGGCTCATGTCCTCCCRTGAACAGGAGGGCACTTGTGAATCCATTGAGCCTCGGTGTGCAAGGAGTGCACCTGTTTCTTTAGGCAGAAATCAGGACACGTGCAACCTAACGTTTGCCTTCAGAAGAGCTCAGGACCTCTGGTCACCACGTGTCGTGAGGAAGACGCCCCGGGTCAGAAGTCACCAGATACCCAGGGCTCCTAGGGGTCTCCTGAAGAAGCTCAGGATTGGGATCCTGGCTTCAGGACTTCATGGTGCCGACTCAGGAAATAGTGTGGACGGTGGTGGTGATGACGTAAACATGAGGGGACAACTCTTTCCTGGTCGCTGGGTTAAAGTTTGGACCTGGGTGCTCCACAGAGGCCACTTATGTGTTTTAGCCGCATGAACATGAATGCTGGGGAGCAAGGACAAGCTGTACTGCAAAAGTGACCACGGCCACCACCCCTGGGTGTTACTCCAATGACACAGGCATTCCCAGGTTGATAGCAGCCCAGTTCACAGCAGCCAGACTGTGGAACCAGCCTGGTGTCCATCGGAGGAGGAGTGGACAAGTAAAATGTGGTGTATACCCGCAGTGGAGTTCTGCTCAGCCGTAAAGAAAAACGAATCATGTCATTTGCAGGGAAATGGATGGAACTAGAGGCCACCGTGTTAAGTGAAATAAGTCAAACATAAGGTCAGGGGTCTTGGGTTTTCTCATGTACAGAAGCTAGAGAGGAAAAGGGAAAGAAAGGGGGCGGGGGTCTCCTAAGAATTAAAAGGAGATTAGGACCCTCCTCCTCCCGAGTGCTGCCTGGCTCCCTGGTGGGCTGGCCCAGAGCAGATCTGATGGGACTTGGACTCTGAAGTCCTACCCAGAGCCACCTCCAGGGCGCCTACCCCCTGCCAGCCCAAGGATCAGCTCTCCCCAAGGCTGTCCCTGTCACTGCTGCGCCTAGTGAGCCCAGAGCTGGGCGAGAGGTCCCCGGGGGCTTGCTGCCTGTACCTGTTCTGTCCCCAGGCCAGGCACACAGGGCTCAGCAGTGTCCACTGCCTGGCCTCACATTTTGACCGCCAAGGTCACAGCCTCCAGGGGCACGCCAAGGCAGCGCCTCAGGAACAGACAGGCCAGCACCCCTGGCCTCCTCGCATTTCTTCTCCAAAGAACAAGAAACCGGCCGCTCAGGAGACCCGTCCTGATGGGGTTTGCTGGACTCTGTCGGTGGCTGGGGAAGGCTGTCACCTGCGCCATTCTGTCTTTCAAACCCAGGACTCAGCAGGCAGCAGGTGCCTCCCCTGGGCTGGCAGGGCCCATGCAGGACGGGGGTTCTGGAACGTTCTCCCTGGCCTCCGCTGGATGGTGTATGGTGGGTGGAGACCCCGCGGCTCCTCCCTTTCAGGTCCACCTCGGGTCACAGCCGGCCCTTCAACAGAGGGCGGGATGTGGGCACTGGCRGGGCTCAGAAGGTCGCCAGGGCCCCGCGGCCTTCCCACGGCCTCCCGGCTACGGATGTACATGAGGCCCAGGGAGCTCCCCATCTGCAGGCTMCTCCCTTCTTGTTCCTAAGGTCACTCTTCACTGTGTCCTGGCAAGTCCCCCTGTCCCTGTTCCTCAGCACATCTGCCCTGCTCTGAATCACTGGGTGGCCCTCTGCTGTGACACAGACCAACTTGAGGACACTCAGCTGGCCTTAGCCCACCTTCTGCCCAACCTGCAGGGCCCTCGGCTCTCTGCCCCACGTCTTCCTCTCTCTCCCTCCTAGTGATGCCTCATGGCTCAGGCCAGGCCTTCCCAGCCCTCTGGTGCAAGTTGGTCTCCTGGGCAGGGCCTGCATGGTGCCTATGTCTCACTACCTCTGAGGCCCAGGTGGCCCTGGGTTCTGCTACGGTCAGTCGGCCTCGGGGCCTCCTCTGTAATGGYTGCCCGGCTTCCCTAAGAGCCCAGTCGACTCAGGACAGGCCATCCAGAGCTGAGGGAAGGCACTTATGCCTTGTCCCCTACCCAGCTCCTCCACTGGCCTTTGGTTCACATGGACAGGTGYTGTCACAACCCGGAACTTGTCCCCAAGAGCTGTGGAACAGTCCCAGGGACGTTCAGTGGCCTGTGGGATATACCAGACAGAGCTTCCTGGGGCTTGGGCCTGAGCAGCAGGAGCCCAGGAGGACCTGCAGGCCGGGGCTGCATCCTGTCACCACGCCCTGTGTCCATGGAACAGAGTGGGCCAGTTTTGTAGGTGGCAGGTGGCACGGGTCCCATGATGACTGTACCTCAGGCTGCTCAGTTCTCGCTGAGTGGCAAAGGTCTGTCATTGTGACAACCGCTGACTGCAGAGCCAAGGTCAGGGCGCTGTCAGCGCGGCCCCCAAGGCCCAGCTGCCAGTCCACTTGCACAGTCCCACAGAGGTGCCCCAGGGCCGCGGCCTCCTGCAGGAGCCTGGGCCTCAGGCGTGGTCCTCAGGCTGGGGAGGGGCAGGCCCAGGTGCCCACTGCTGGCCCAGGGAGCTCCCCATCTGCAGGCTCCTCCCTTCTTGTTCCTAAGGTCAGGTGCCCACTGCTCATCACGGGCAGCACTGGGTGGCCGGGCAGCCCGCTCCCCTCTTCCTGGGTCACATGGAAACTCACCCCGTGTTCCTGAGGGTCGGCTCATAAAGCAAACAAGTAGCAAATTGGCCTGATGGATTTAATTTCTACTTTCTTTCAATGCAGCTAGAATTAAAAAAAAAAAAAAAAAAAAAAAAGTCATGGGGCTTTGTAGGGCTTGACTGTCCCGCCAGGCATGTGTCACTTTAGGTTAGCCGAGTGCCTCTGCCACCCTCAGCCAAGTGCCCGGGGCAGCGTGGCAGACGGGCCAGGCGAGCACGAGTGCTTCCTCGGGGTGCACATCATTCCCGCCTGGCAGATGGGGGCGGGGGCCTGGCGACTCCCTCCCACAGAGCAGCCTTGCCCGCAGCGCGACACAGACCTGGGCTCCCCCGTGGCAGCGGCCTCTGCTCCGTCCGCCCACAGCCTGAGTTGGGCCGGCGTCAGAGTTGCACCTCGCCTCCTCCGAGGGCCCSGGCCTCAGTCTCCGTCATTAGCCCTTTGGGAATGAAATGTGTCTAGAGAGAAGGGGGTTGTCTGTCTGCGTGACAGGGGCACCCCTCCCTCATATCCTCCTGCTGGACCTCTCAGGAGGGACAGTGTCATACCAGTGCTGTCTAGATCTCCTGATGTCCCCAGAAGGCAGAGTGCCTCCAGAGCCCAGACCAGGCCCTGCAGAGGAGGTGCACAGAGACCTCAAAAGTCACCAGTTCTGGGAGCCCCTCCTTGCCCGCCTTGGGTGGGAGATGTCATCCTTGTCCCCAGAGCTGAACTTTGAGCCTCTTACTCATCAAAATGGAAAACAGCCCCCTGGGTCCCGCTGMCTGTTTTGAGAGGAGTCATTCCTCCCGCTCTTGGGATCCGGGTGACACGACTCTGGGGACCCCTTCTGGATAGCGCTCTTTGCCTTCATTCCTCACCTCAGTAGAAACATCTGGAGCTTCTGGAGTCTCCCGGGTCTTTGAGGGCCAGCCCCACTCATGACTAGCACCCTAGCCTCCCTGATGCCCCAGATCACCCGTGGACTTCAAGTCCTCTAGCCCTGCCGGGTGGTCAGAACCCACCAGACCACCCAGCCGGTCCCAGAGTGAGCCCCCCTCAGGCCCACAGTCCTCGAACCTGCCCGTGGCTCTCGCACCTGACCCGTGGCCCAGCTGGCCTTGGTGTGCGGGCCCTGGCAGCAGCCGGTCAGCCTGCCGCGCTTCTCCACAGGGCCTGATGCACTCCAGCGGCCCCGTGGGCCGGCACCGGCAGCTGGTCCTGGTCCTGGAGGGGGAGCTCTACCTCATCCCCTTCGCCCTGCTCAAGGGCAGCTCCTCCAACGAGTACCTGTACGAGCGCTTCGCCCTCATCGCTGTGCCCGCCATCCGCTCGCTCGGCCCGCACGCCAAGGTAACCTCGCAGGCGGCTCTGCAGGGGCAGGAAGGAGGCTGGCCTTGGGAACCCGGGCCCTGGGACTCTTCTGGGCCTTGGTTGACCACTGGGTCACTGGCCTGTTCACGTGGGGTCAGTGTCTGCTGCGCATGCCTGCAGCCCTGGACTAGTTGCTGGATCCTGTGTCCTAGTTGCTGGATCCTGTGCTCCTCACAGGAACAGCCAGTCCAAAGTGAACGACAGGGTTCCTGTGAGCCTCTGACGAGTGAGCTGGTCTCCCAGGCGCTGCCGCCACCGGAGCCCTCCGGGTGTCAGTGCAGCCTTCAGAGCTTTGACTGGGGGCAGCAGTGAGCTCACTGTGTTAACTTGTCCAGAGGCGTGGAAGGGACAGTCTTCTGAGGGCCACTGTCTCCCTCGCCCACAGTGGACCGAGGCCCAAGCAGAGGCAGGCGTTGTGAAATAACATGATGCCTTTACGTTTCCTTCAAGAGCATCCAAAGTTGCCCTGGTGGGAGGTCACCCTGTGGGGCTCCGGGCTGGTTTTCTACCCTGGGATGTTTCTGTCCTGGAAGGTGACGGAGTGAAACTCCTCCACACATAGAGCTTCTGAAGGACTTGATCTGGGCTCTGTTCCCAGATTGACTGGCAGCCTAAGAAAGGTCACTTCCCAGCCTCCCCCCCCCACACTTCAGGAGCTCCTCTAGGGCAGCTGGGCGTGAGCCATGGCAGGCCGGCCGCCCTTCACCTGGCAGACAGTGGTGTCCCTCCCCAGCCCAGGCCTGATCTCGGGACTGTAGGACAGGCGATCCCTGGCGGCCAGGCACCTGTGTCGAGATGTTGGAAAATCAGGGTGAAGGTCACCGGGGACCCGGGTCCTCCCGAGATGCCCACTGCTCACTCTGACGGTGTTCTGCTGTGTCCCTCCCCTCTTAGTCCCACCTGAGGAAGACCCCACCTGCATACCCCAGCTCGGCGTCCATGGCAGCTGTCATCGGCAACCCCAAGCTCCCGTCGGCAGTGATGGACAGGTGGCTGTGGGGCCCCATGCCGTCGGCCGAGGAGGAAGCACACATGGTGTCTGAGCTGCTGGGCTGCCAGCCCCTGGTGGGCAGCGTGGCCACCAAGGAGCGGGTCATGAGCGCCCTGACCCAGGCCGAGTGCGTCCACTTCGCCACCCACATCTCATGGAAACTGTCGGCCCTGGTCCTCACGCCCAGCGTGGACGGCAACCCTGCTGGCAGCAAGAGCTCCTTCGGCCACCCCTACACGATCCCCGAGTCCCTGCGGGTGCAGGACGACGCCAGCGACGGGGAGAGCATCTCAGACTGCCCACCCCTGCGGGAGCTGCTGCTCACAGCCGCCGACCTGCTGGACCTGCGGCTGCCCGTGAAGCTGGTGGTGCTCGGCTCTTCGCAGGAGGCCAGCGGCAGGGTCACGGCCGATGGCGTGGTGGCGCTGACGCGGGCCTTCCTGGCCGCCGGCGCGCAGTGTGTGCTGGTGGCTCTGTGGCCGGTGCCCGTGGCCGCTTCCAAGATGTTCGTCCACGCCTTCTACTCGTCCCTGCTCAACGGGCTCAAGGCCAGCGCCGCCTTGGGGGAGGCCATGAAGGCCGTGCAGAGCAGCAAGGCCTTCGCGCACCCCTCCAACTGGGCAGGTGGGTGGCCCCGGGGGGCCTCGTGGCACCTCGAGGTGCAGGTGGGCATGGGGGGCAAGGGAGGTGCCTTCCTGCCGAGGTCCTCACCCTGGTCCTCTCCCTGGCCAGGAGTGTCCCCTCCTGGGCACCGTCTTTTGGACCAGGGACAGATGTTTGCCACCAGATGGCCTCACTGTGCCCAGATGACCCATGTTGCCACCTTGAAACCCCTAGCCCATGGGAAAGACCCTTGATCTGGCCTTCTGGTCACACACCTGCTGTCACCTGAGACAGTTACAGCCCTCTCTGAAGCCCGGTGTCCTCTGTGCCCACTGCAGGTGGATGGGGTGGTGCTGCAGCTCCACACTACCCACATCTCGGGCCTGGGTTGCCCTGCCCAGTGCGAGGCACTGCCCGTGCTGGGAGACCCTCGGCATGGTGCTGAGGGGGCTTGGGAGTGAGGGGGTGGCTGACCTGTGACCTGGCCACAGGAGGGGTGGGGTGGGCTGCTCRTGGGCAGAGCTGCTGTCCCTGCAGCAGCCTGTGTTCATGAGCCACAGCGTCACCAGAAGCCCCGGCATGCCCGAGACCCCCCCTCCAGTCCGGAACCAAGTGCAGGGCTAGCCCCAGGCCGTCCCCACCACACACCACGGAGCTCATCCCGCCGCCCCAGGCTGCTTTGGCGCCGAGCAGCAGGCCCAGTGGTGGGGACTGGCCGGAATCCTGTTCTCAAGTATTTACATTTCATCGCTTCAGCAAAAGCCGGGCCCTGTGCACATTTAAAGTTGGAGACAACATGGCTTCCCTCACTCTCCCTCGTGACAAAAATCCAGGTGGCATGGCCTGAGACTGCTGATGTCCCTGCCAATGTTCCCAAAGGAGGGCCAGCCCYGAAGGGGAGTCACCACGTTGCCAGGCCCAGCCAGCAAGTAACGTTGGCTGTGGTGGCCACCCCTGGTGCCCACTGGTACATAGACTGTGCTGCCCACGCCAGGTGCTGGTTTCAGGAGGACAGGCTGGGGGGGGAGCACTTTCACGTCACAAAAAGCACATCTGCAGCATTTTTCAAAAACAAAACAAAAACACTATTGCCTGTGTCCTCCCGTGGTTGAGGCCCRTGTCCTCCTGATCCTGAGGCTGGTCGGAGGCCCACTGCCTACTTCCGGCCCCTCGCCCATCACCACACAGAGTGGCACGTTGCTGAACTGCTGCCCCCAGGAGATGCAGGAAGCAGGTGACCCAGTGGGTCCCTCACCATTCTCAGCCCATGTCCTGTTTTATCTGTGCTCTTGGCAGGTGGAAGGGGATCTGGGCCCTGCAGGGTCCCACAGAAGGCCCCCCAGGCTCTGTGGGAGCCTGGCTCTGCTTGGCCATTCTGGAAAGGGGTCCCTGCTCCTGTTGGTCCTCCTGTGCATATGGATGTGACGTTTTAGAAGAGGGTCTCTCTTTAGCTTTGTTGGTAGAAGCGGCCACTGCTCTGAGGGCAGGGACTTTTGGTGACACTGCCTTGCTAACTTTAAAACGGCTCCCTCTCCTGGAAAGCCCTCGCCCGCCTGGCCTGGGGTAKGCCCGTCCTGAAGCTTCTCCTTGGTGCTGAGGAGCCTGGGGCTCGGGAGGGATGTGGCTCACGTGCTCCTTGGACAGCAAATGGTGCTTCCTGGCCACTTTTAGAGCAAGAGGGTGCCTCCCACCCCCAGGTCCCCCCACAAATGCTAGGACAAAAGATGCAGAAGGACCTCAGGGAAAGCAAGGCCAGTCACTCCTGGGAGGTGCCCACCCGGCTCTGCTCAGTGCAGATCGGCAGGCCCCGCCTCCTGAAAGGCTGGAAGCRTGTGATCTGGAAAGGACAGGGACGGGGTGCTGGCTGGATGTCCTGCAAGGGCCAGCTCTGTACCAGGCTGGCCACGGGACCCAGACTGGGCGGGTCTCCGGGGGCCCTGCTGAGGTGCCCCACGCTCTCCACAGGGTTCCTGCTCATCGGGAGCGACGTCAAGCTCAACAGCCCCTCCTCGCTCGTCGGCCAGGCCCTCACGGAGATCCTGCAGCACCCGGAGCGCGCACGGGACGCCCTTCGAGTGCTGCTGCACCTGGTAAGGGCACCGGCACCCGGAGCCAGTCGCCAGCCACAGCTGGGAGGTGGGCAGGTGGCACCACGCAGGGCCCAGGAGAGGGCAGTGGAGGGCAGCGACCCGCACCCTACTATTTCCCTGTGGCTTTGGGCAAGTCACTTTGGCTCCCTGAGCTCAGTTTCCCCCTCTAGAGGGTGGTGATGAAGCCAGTGTTTCAAGATTGAGACAAKGTGAGCACCTGGCACACAGTAGGGCTGCAGTAGCTCCCAGACGTCACTGTTTCACAGCTGGATGCCACTGGCCCCTCTGACACCCACACGGAAGGCTCTTGATCGCGCCTCTGGCATCCCCAGAATCTGCAGGGCCCCAGTGAGCGTGAGCGGAAGTGTCATCAGCTACACGTTTAAAAGGTTTTAAGTCAAGACACAGTGACGTAAAACGTGTCCCATTTAGCACTCACAACCCCCTTAGAGCTCAGTGCCAGCAAGGCTAGCCSGGGCCGGCCTGTGGCTTGAGTGGCAGGGCCACACAGCTGCTCCATGTCCACCCTTCCTGCACCTGGAGCATGCAGCGGCCCCAGGGTCCCCATGCAAGTCAGGAGCCCCATGCTCTGTGACTCCATCCAGGCTTGTCAGGGAGCACCCCGTGGATTCCCTGCAGGGCTGCATTCCAGGTGTGCAGGTCCCCTTGGCCATGTACACTCCTTGTCCCATGGAGGGCCTGGGCAGGAGTCGCACACCCCGTGTGCCCGGGCTGGGCRCCCTTGGACCATCTCATAATGGACGGGTCACGCACCTTTCTCCAGCTGAGGGTCTGCCTGAGGCYGGCAGGAATGGGGTGTAACAAAGTGTGTGGTGGCCCAAGGCACCCAGGGGCACCTGCTGCAGGCAGATGGGCCCATGTTCCCCGAGGGTGCTGGGAAGGCATCTCCACTGGCGCCAGCTGTGTCTGAAGCTGCGCAGATGCTTCAGTTGCTCAGCCCAGGTCCCTTCTCAAGTGTCACCCCCAAGTCCCTCCGTCCTGGTTCCCTCTCCCAGCCCGCCTTTCCTAGGTGGCAGAACTACCCTCCACACCCCGGAACTTCTGCTCAGGCTGGGCTTCAGCTGCCCATGTGCCCTGGGGCCCCCAGGYGAGACTCAGGGGTCCTCTCCTTCCTCAGCTTTGTCTTTGAGGGTGTGGTGGCCACAGTCAGGCCCGCTGGCCCCTCCCTTCTTCCAGCTACCCGCTCCCTCCAGCCCCAGGGCAGGCAGGGCTCAGCTGCACCGTGCCTTCTGGCTGCCATGAGTGCGCTGTGGCCTGCCCCGGGGTYGCCTGAGCCCTGGCATCTCACTGCTCCACCCTCAGAAAAGCCTTGGTGGGCCTTTTGGACGACTGACTGCCCCCCAGGGATGGCGCTCAGGGTGGACAGAGGTGTCCCCTAGAGAGACCTGCCAGGGACAGCAGGCTCCCCTGTGGAGGACGAGGAGGGCAGGTGATGGGGACGCCAAGGCCTGACCCTGGTGAGGCCTGCAGACAGAAGGCCCTTCCTTGCGGGGAGCCGCGGTCTGTGGGGCGAGGTCAGGCCAAGGGAAGCCGAGTGGCGAGTCAGGGAAGGAGGGCGGTGCCAGCCGTGGCCTGCGATGGGTGCTGCGGGGTGCGGTGTGGGGTGCGGTGTGGGGTGGGCCACCGGCAGCAAAGGGGTCTTGGTGGGGCGAGGGGCTGTGACATGGCCTGGGCAGCCCCTGGCCTGARAGCTGTTTTCAGGCAAATTTCTCCAGGGTCTGTGGAAGAGACTGGGGACAGGAAGGGCTGGCCAGGGACTAGGACAGGGACAGAGGCCTCKTCCTGCCACTCTCAGGGGCAGACTGCCCACCTCACCCCCTGCAGAGTGACCCTCGGTGCCCCCAGGCCTGGCCCCCTTGGCCGCCCAGGGTGCAGTTGGCATAGCCCTGGCTTCTCCCTCAGAGTCACGCAGAGCGCAGGGGGCAGCCAGGGCCTCTGACCGTCCCTCTCCCCGCCAGGTGGAGAAGTCCCTGCAGCGCATCCAGAACGGTCAGCGCAACGCYATGTACACCTCGCAGCAGAGCGTGGAGAACAAAGTGGGCGGCATCCCGGGCTGGCAGGCCCTCCTCACCGCCGTGGGCTTTCGGCTGGACCCTCCAGCCAGTGGCCTCCCGGCGGCYGTCTTCTTCCCCACCTCCGACCCCGGGGACCGGCTCCAGCAGTGCAGCAGCACCCTCCAGTCCCTGCTGGGTGAGCCACCGCAGGGCATCAGCCTCGGACAACAGGGGCCAGGGGATGGGGAGACCCATCCYGCTGGGACCCGCAGCCGGGAGGGCCAAGTCGTCCTGGGCTGCTGATCTGGGCCACCACGGCCCCTCTCCGGGGGGTCCTTCTTTATGAGAGTCCAGGCTAAGCAGGCCCCAGCTCTGCCCCTTCTGGGCTGACGTGAGGTGGCTCTGGGCAGGTGTTAGTTCTGACRCTGTCACTGGCGGCGGTGGGTCTGACACAGCTGCAGGGCAGCCAGAGTGGCACAGKCTGCTGACTGGGACTGTCCTGGAGGGTGTGGCAGGGTCAGGCTTCCTCAGAAGCCACATTCTCCAAGTCATACGTGGACATGTCTGTTAGGGCCAGGCTTGAAAAATGCCACCAATACTGAGCGTGTGGGGCTCTCTCCCCTGGAAGGTGGCAGGACCACGGTGCCAAGGCCCCTGGGTAACCCCGCCCYCTTGTCTCCTGCAGGTCTGCCCAACCCCGCCCTCCAGGCCCTCTGCAAGCTCATCACTGCCTCAGAGACCGGGGAGCAGCTCATCAGCCGGGTGAGTGGGGCCCCGGCAGCGGAGCCTAGGCCCGGCTGAGCCCGAGGGTGTGGTGTGGTCCAGGACAAGACCTGCGAGTCTCGCAGCCCTCCTGCTCTTTTCTGTCTGAATGATCAGAGGGGAGGCACGGGCTGGGTCTGCAAGGGCAGGTCCTCATAGTATCCTAGYGCAGCGCACCTCCAGGTAACACTCAGAGCCTGTCACCTGAAGCCCTAGGTGGTTCCTGCACTCGCCTTGCAGTGCCCACCTGCACCGGTCAGCCCACCCCWACTTTTTTAGTTGATTGACAAGTGTCACAGCCACCATCCCCAGCCCAGTGGGCCTTGTGCCAGTCCACGGGATGGCCACAGGGTCCACTACCAAGTACTTTTCATGCCTGAAAAAAAATGGCAGGAGTGGGCTGTGTGCCCAGCAGGCCTGATGGGCGCTCGCCCTGAGGATGCAGCTGCTCTGACCCGGGGATTGGGAGGGGCTTCGTTCTTAGCCTCAGGCAGGTCCCCCACCTGGGCCTTGAGGTCCTCTATGCCTGCTCAGTCTCCTGCTGGCCAGCGATGTCTGGGACTAGCCCAGGGGACAGCGCATGTGGGCTTCTGGGTGGGAAAGATCAGAGCACAGAGCAGTTTTGAASTGTGACCTGAAGCACAGTCGCCCTTCCTGGCCATCCTGCTGGGGGACCTCAGGACCTCGGTCAGCAGAAACACTTCCCTTGTGGACATGAGCCGCCCAGTGGAGCAGGCTCTGAGGTCCTCAGTGGGGCTGCAGCTCCTCACCTGGGGCTGTTCCCGGCCAGGACTTGAACAGGACACTTGCCGTGGCCGCCCTCCCTCCATCCTGTGTCTCTAGGAGGCCCTTCCTGCTCTTGTGGGMAGCACCAGGAAGGCGCTTCCGGAACCCAGCACATTAGCACACGCAGCACAGAAGGGACAGCTAGACCACATGAGGGCAGTGGGCTTCCTGGGAGATAGTCCTCACTTCCCTGCCTTCAGGGGAAGCCCCGGGGCCTCGGGAACCCTCTGGAACCCCGCGATGCCACATGCCCTGCCCCAGCCCTGGCCTGGGTGTGCCTGTCCTGCTGCTCTCGCTCCTCCCCAGCCGGGGCCTCCTGCGGCAGCGCGCGCTCGCTCGTGGTGCGACAGCCTGTGCTTGACTCTAAACTCTCTCTTCTCTCTCTCTCTCTTTCTTTCTTTTTCTTATAATCTGCTGGCGAAGGCTGTTAAAAATATGGTGGGAATGGTAAGTATGACTTGAAGTAGCAGCTGCCCCCAGATGAGCCTCCGCCCATCCCACCCGAGCTCCAGCTGCTGCACCGCTGCCTGGCTCTGGGGACCCCRCGGGCCGTGCTGCTGCCCACTGGCTCCATCCTCTGCTCTGGCTCCCCCTTTCCTGCTCCACCCTTCTGTGCCCTTGATTTGACCTTTAAAATTTTTTTTAGTTGTAGATGGACACACATCTTTATTTTGTGTATTTGTTTCTATGTGGTGCTGAGGATGGAGCCCAGGGCCTCGCACACGCCAGGCAAATGCTCTACCCTGAGCCCCAGCCCCCTCGATTTGACCCCAGAGCAGCGGGGGTTRAATGAACTTTGGCACCGTGAACATAGGAAGCGGAGCTCACAGACAGACCTGGGCGTGGGACACCTGAGCAGGCCGGGGCTCCTCCCTGAGGGCTGGGGTGCTGGACACTCCTTTCCCGTGAACCTCAGTATCCTGAGGATGGCTTTATGAAGTGCCTGGGTAAAAAAGGAGGTCACCAGTGCCCATCCTGCCCCTCCTCTCCTGAGGCTGGAGCAGAGCCGGGTGCAGGGAGGCCTTAGGACCTTCGTGCCTGTGGCCTCGGCCCCGCTGCCCCTCAGCTCCCTAGAGGACAGCAGGTGCTGGGCAGGAAGGCACCTTAACAAGATCGTCAAACACTACACACACACAAGGCGAGAGGGTGACAGCAGTGATGGGGACAAGGACAACTCGGGCTGGAGGGGAAGAGGCCGGGCGGGCCGGGCGCTCATGTCCGCCTCCCTCCCTCAGCTCCACCAGGTGCTGGTGCAGCTCCAGGCTGGTGAGAAGGAGCAGGACTTCGCCTCAGTCCCCATCCAGGTGTCCATCAGTGTCCAGCTGTGGCGGCTCCCGGGATGCCACGAGTTCCTGGCCGCGCTCGGTAGGACCCAGCCCCTTGACCACCTGCTGCTCCCCGGGCTCTGCTGGGGCCCTGGGTCCCCCCCAGTGCTCCCTTAGATGCCATCTTACAGTTCAGAGATTCCGACGCCCCCTCGGGATTCCCAGGTGCCCTCCAGCTTCGTCCGTCCCCCTGCCTTATGATATCACCTCCTTCCTCTCTCCACATCGCCTTACTGGGAATCTGCTGGGTTCCATTTGTGGTGTCCACCACGATTAGCAGCTGAAGGAAATTCAGAGTCGCAGGGCCAGACTGGTGGCTGAGTGTGGCCCATGCTGGCTACTGGGAGCTGGGAGGAAGCAGGACTCACTGAGACACCCAGGGGCCAGGGCAGCTAGTGCTGCTCCACAGGCCCCTGTCCTGCCCAGGAGGCTCACTGTGCCTCCTCTGTTCCTCTCGCAGCCAGTCAGTCTTGATGCGGTGGTGGCTTCTTGAAAGCAGGTACATCTGCTGATGAGGCTCAGAGGCCCAAGCCTCCATCCCCGTCCCCCACGTGCCCAGAGACTTGCCTTTGTCACGCCTTTCTRGGATAGGAGAGCCGTGGCCTCGAGGGGCCAGGTGGCTTGGGCCCCTAGACTTCTTTGCTCTGCTCCTTACCTGTGACATCCAGTACCAGCTGTGTCACAGGGCACTGTTCAGAGGGACACAAGAGTGCCCATGCTGACCCTGGGACTGAGATGGGCGGGTGCCCAGGCTCACAGGCGGTCCTCGAGGGCTGGTGGCCAGTGCTGGGCGGAGAGCAGCCCCTCAAGGCCAGGCATCCAGAGCAGAGCCCTGCGGGTCCTGCGCAGGCTGGCAGGGGAGGGCAGCGGCTGGGGGAGCAGCCAGGTCAGCTGTGGGTGAAGATAAAGGTTAGGATCAGAAACAGAAATGTGACATTTATATAACTAGTCACTCATTTTTAAATGAGTGACTTTCAGGGATTATTTGTTCTGATCACTCCACGGTGATCAGAATGTCACCTCTTCCAGGGAACCTTGTTCCAAAGGGAAAGGTGGCGTCCAGACCAGTGTCAGAGTCCTTGAGGAAGAACAGACCAGGAAGAGCTGTCCCCTCACGGGCTGTGCAGTCCTGAGCCACGCRGCCTGCTGACAGTGGCCGCACTGTGTGCCACAGAGCCCTGATCCGAGGACAGGCTGTGGCACCCCAGGTGCCCTGTCCCCTGGGGGCTCAGCACAATCCTTCTGAGGGTTCAGGTGGAGTCAGTGGTCTTCCGGGAGAGGCGGGACCGAGACTCAGTGCTCAAGGCCTCCAGGACCTTTGTCATGCCTGGTGGTCCCCATTTGTGACAATCACAGCCACAGGTCTGAGTTAGCATCTTCCCAGGGAGAGGAGAGGTCCTCGTTGGCTGCCTAAGAGAAGGGTTTTCCTGTGTCACCCAGGATGATCCTGAACTGGTGGACACAGGTGTTCCTCCTGCCTCCCACGTAGCTGGGCTACAGGCATAGGCCACCACACCCACTGTGGTGGCTCCTACATTGTCACTGAAGTATCAGCAGCTCATTAGCCAGCCTCATCCCAGGAGGCCGGTGCATGGGCGTGGCTGTGCTGCTCTGGGCTCCTTAGGGTCCTGGGGGTCGGGGAGCAGCCCCTGGGCTTAGGCATGACTGAACTCCCTGTGGGCAGTCAGCCAGGAGTCGAGGCCGTGTGATGACGCTGTCCTTGCCCAGGAGAAACTGCCACCTTCCCGAGCACCAGCTTTAAATATGAGCCCAGTGCTGAGTGCAGCGTCYGTGCTTGCCCTGGATGGTGTGAGCAGAACAGAAAACATGGACATGTTAATGAGCCTCATTAAGTCCTGCTCAGCACCTGGCTCAGGCAGGAGGGGACCAGAGCTCTTCGAGGGCGCRGGGCCTGGCAGCAGCAGCACCACACTCAGCTGTGTAGGGACAGGGACAGGAGGCCCAGCCCCTGTGGATGCACCCCGCCGTGTGGAGCAGTGCAGAGGCCCTGCTCTGTCCTGTGGGGCACCTGAGGCCCCCTGAGGACACAGCTCTGTGCCTGGTCTCCCCAGGGTTCGACCTRTGTGAGGTGGGGCAGGAGGAGGTCATCCTGAAGACCGGGAAGCAGGCCAGCCGGCGCACCGTGCACTTCGCCCTGCAGTCGCTGCTGGCTCTCTTTGGTAAGACCTGCTGGGAGGCCCGCCCACTCCCCCTGGCTGCATTTTGGGCTCTGTGTGGGAGTTGGGGACTGCAGAGCTGCAGGGCAGATGGTCCGTCCCAGCCCCGGGCAATAAACAAACCCCCTGCACCCAGGGAACTCACCACCTGTGAGAAAGGATGGCTGAGGTGTAGGTAGCGGGCCTGAGGGGCTGGCACAGGGCATAGGAAAGGGCAGGGTAAGGGCGAGGACATCATGGAGGCCTGTCCCTCCATGGGCCATTGGGGACCCACGGGCCTGGCAGGAGCTGGCGCCCAGACCGCGCACTCTCAGGTTGCAGAGTAACTGCAACATGGATGTGGCATGGRGGGCAGAACCCATGGCATCTGCTCYGGGGTGTSCATCGCAGCAGGGAGAGAGCCAGGGGCCRCCCTGTTTGGCTGGTCAGGAAAGCAGCAGGAGGAACGGTGGCCGTAGTGTGGGCCCACTCAGTGCTGCTGCTGGTGACCAGTGTCGAATGCGGTGTAGATGAAGCATGCAGATTAGAGGGGAGGAGGACYGCGTCCAGGGGCACTCCAGGATTCAAAGGTCACAGAGATGAGGGGGAAGCCGGTGAGAGCAGGGTGTGTCCACAGCAGGTCTGAGGGTGAATGCTGGGCCTGGGAGTGCTGGCCTCCTGGTGGCCTCTGTAAGAGCAGGGGAGAGGCAGCTGAGGAGCAGCGAGGGCCGGTGACTCCTGGAGTCTGCTGGGATCACCAGGACCCAGCTGYGACGAATGGCACATGTGGGGCTGAGCACCGGGACACCACTGACAGCTCAGTGCTGGTCAGAGYGGGATGGCAGGCGTGGGTCCCTCTAGTGGCCAGGAGCAGAGGTGTGAAAACTGAGGTGCTGGCCCAGGCCTCAGGAGTGCKGCTGTGGCTTCCCCAGGGTGTCTTTGTCCTACTTCTCTTTCCAACTGGACTTGGGTGTAAATGAGCTCCACTCGGGCAGGAGTAGCATTTGCATAATTCTTGCTAGTTTCTAGGGACATCTGTGATTTTTTTAAAGAAAAATGGAAACCGTGGAACATTCTAACCACCCTCCTCCCTGTGTCTGTGCTCAGATTCCACCGAGCTCCCCAAGCGCCTCAGCCTCGACAGTTCGTCCTCCCTGGAGTCCCTGGCCTCTGCTCAATCCGTCTCCAACACCCTGCCCTTGGGCTGCCAGCACCCGCCCTTCTCCCCGACAGGGGCGGACAGCCTGGCCTCGGACGCCATCTCCGTGTACAGCCTGAGCTCCATCGCCTCCTCCATGAGCTTCGTCTCCAGGCCGGAGTGTGGCCCGGAGGGCGGAGGCCCCAGGGGACGGCAGGACTTCGACAAGCCCAAGAACACTTATGTGCAGCGAGCCACCACCCTGCCRCGGAGCCCGCTGTCCCCCCAGGCCCGGGGGGCGGGCAGCAAGGACGAGGAGGAGTACGAGGGCTTCTCCATCGTCAGCACCGAGCCCCTGGCCGCCCACCCCGAGGGCAGGGAGGCGCGCTTCTCCCCGGACCCCAAGCAGGCCCGCGGGGGCGCCGCCRTGGGCGCCAAGATATCGGTCAGCTCCAAGGGCAGCGTGAGCACCCCCAACTCCCCGGCCAAGATGACTCTGATCCCCAGCCCCAACTCGCCCTTCCAGAAGGTGGGCAAGCTGGCGAGCTCCGACACGGGCGAGTCGGACCAGTCCAGCACGGAGACGGACAGCACCGTCAAGTCCCAGGAGGACGGCAGCCCCAAGCTGGACCCCCAGGAGCTGGCCCAGAAGATTCTGGAAGAGACGCAGAGTCACCTCCTGGCGGTGGAGCGGCTCCAGAGGAGCGGCGGTCAGGGCGGCCCCGGGAGCCCCCGCGAGGACGGCGCCCCGGTGCCCCCCAGCGCCCCGGTCTTCAGAGCCTCGGAAACCAGCGCCTTCAGCAGGCCCGTCCTCTCCCACCAGAAGAGCCAGCCGTCGCCCGTCGCCACCAAACCAAAGCCCCCGGCCCGGAGCTCGTCCCTGCCCAAGGTGAGCTCCGGGTACAGCAGCCCCGCGTCCCCGAGCCAGCACAGCGGCCGCCCGTCCCCCTGCGACTCCCAGGCCTCCCTGTCGGACCAGCCGCTCTTCAAACTCAAGTACCCCAGCTCCCCCTACAGCGCCCACATCTCCAGGTCGCCGCGGACCCTGTCCCCCAGCTCGGGTCACCAGTCCCCGGCGGGCAGCGCGCCCTCGCCCGCGCTCTCCTACTCCTCGGCCGGCTCCGCGCGCTCCAGCCCCGCCGACGCCCCCGACCTGGACAAGCTGAAGCTGGCGGCCATCGACGAAAAGGTGCAGGCCGTGCACAACCTGAAGATGCTGTGGCAGAGCGCGCCCCAGCCCCCCTCGGGGCCCGTGAGGGTGCTGCGAGGGCCCCCGGGAACCGCCACCTCCAAGAGAGACGTGCTCAGCCTGCTAAACTTGTCGCCTCGGCACAACAAGAAGGAGGAGGGGGTTGACAAGCTGGAACTGCAGGAGCTGTCCCTGCAACCGCGGGACGAGGCGCCCCCCAGGGCCCCCCCCAATGGCCACTGGCGCCCCGAGACCACCACGCTGGGCCCCGCCGCCCCCGCTCGCCCCCTGAGACTTCCTTCAGCAAACGGCTACAAGTTCCTGTCCCCAGGAAGGTTTTTTCCTTCTTCCAAATGCTGAAGCTTCCCTCTTTCCGCCCACGACTCTGAGAGCAGCGCGCCCCCCGCGGGGGCCACCCGCCGGAGGCTGTCCCCCTCAGCCGCACAGCGCCCCCGGTGGCGGCCCTGGTAGGGCACGTCGCTCCGCCCGCCCCTCAGGCGCCCCGGGCTGGTGGCCAGGGATGGCACCTCACCCATGTCCACCCCGGACCCCCTGCCACTCGTCTTTGATGTGATTCTTTGACAGGATTTTGTACAAAAATGGCCATGATTCTGGGTGGAGGGGACAGGAGCACGTGTCTGCCGAGAGCCCGGGCAGCACCTTCTCTGCAGAAACTCCAATGCTCTGTACCAGGTGCCACCGGGAGAGTCAGAAAATCCAAGTCGAGTTCGACATGAAAGTGTCATATTAGCCAAAAACAGAATAACGGTTTCAAAATGCCAATGACGTAAACCTGTCGMAGTCCTACGGCCAGCCACAGCCACTCGCAATAACGCCCGTCAGCGCGCTTCCGCATGGCCCTCGGGCCCCACCTCAGCCAAACTTGAATTTTCTTAAAAAGTTTATGTAACTCCGACCCAGGCATTTTAGAACTATGCAATTGTGATTTAAGATGCAACTTTGTGCTTTTAAAACATTACTGACCTTTTTTGTACACGGATGAACAACCTGGTTTTGTTATCAATAGTACTTTGCATTTATAGCTGTTATTTTTAAAAGCTCAAAAAGTTTTTTAAAATGCCAAATTTTGAATAGTCATCCATAAGCAATTATCAAGTTTTGGGGGAAAGGGTTGAAAATATTCAGTTTCCTTATTAAGCAAAAAAGAAAAAAAAAAGAAAAAGGAGGGAAAAAAACTAACAAAACAAAACTCTGGTTCACCAGACGGAACCAGACCCTCCTTCCAGCCCGGTTGCCTTTGATTAGGTGCTCATTGTCCCCCTCTTCCCCACTCCAGGCCCCACAGACCTCTTCAGCCTCCATGGGCCGCCACATCCCATAGCCCTGGGGCCCTGTCCCCTGTGAGCTGCCTTGCTGGYGCCAGTCCTGGGACGCAGGGCACCCGCATCTGAACCATTGCTAAACAGACAGGAAGTCGGGGATCAGAGACCAGGCACAGCTCCCGCAGAGACAGCAGGACCCTCAAGGTCTCTGCTAGCTGGACACATCAAGGGAATGGCCACCTTGGGGTGGCCTTTAATTTATTTTAATATAGAAATGAAGTGTTGGAAATCCTATTAGTGCTAAAATTAGCTGGAGAATCTAGAATTATCTAAAAGATACTTATTTAAAGTTAARGCCCCCCTCCCTTGCCGTGAGGGTCCACCACAGAAGGTGTGCAGCCACCTGACCTGGGACCGCAGCACGTGGAGGGGACACATGGGGCTGCCAGAGGGACACCAGCACCAGGACCCCAGCTGCAGCCTTAGCCATGGGGAGGGTCGCACTGCACCGACATGACTGGCCCCATGCCTGGGGGGGTCAGCGTACTCTTCTGAGGGGACGAAAGGATATCCTCCACTCGGTTACTCTCAGGAGCACATGGTGGAGGGCTTACGACAGCCAGGCCGATTCAGGGAGGCTGCCCTGTCCAGCCCTGACCGACCYGGGAGAGATCCTTCATAAAGCAGTGGGCAGTTGTGAGAAGTCTTATGTTCACAGGGGAAGATGGAACTAGAAGTGCTAGAGTAGCAGGTGACAGCCAGGGGGACAGCACTGTGTGTTCAGATGGCAAGTCAGGTCTCGGCCACCAAGAGCACACCCCAGCCAAGCCCCGCTGCCAGCCTCCTCAGGGCACCTCCGCAGTCTCCTGGCCAAATGCCCTAAGCCCTCGGGCAGGGGCCTGGGTTCTGTGCCCTTGTCCCTCCACTCTGGAGAACACCTCCCCCCAGACCACTTCCTGCGGGTCCAGCCAGCGAGTACTGGTGACCGACCTGCTTCTAGCCCTCGGCACCTGTCGTCCCTGGTCCCCTGCTGCACACAGGACCTCCCACCTGGTCCTGAACATGAGTTTCAGGGGAGAAACGAGTGGCTGGATAGAGGTCCAGTGTCCCCACCAGAGTCCCCACGTGTACAAATCAGCGTCAGAGTGAGTTTCCAGGCTACTCWGAAAACTGTGTGCTTGCACCGTGGGAGACGGTGGGACAACTCGGACTTCTTGGCAGGAGCAGGGGCTGGCAGGGGACCCATAGGCTAATTTTTTTTCGGGGGGTGTCCTAGGCTGAGAGGATTTTGCCTCTTTCAATCGCTCTCTAAGTACCTGCATGATATTCTTGATCTTGCCTCTTGGCCCCCGAAGCCTAAATGATCGAATGCTGACCCGGGTTGAAAGAGAAAGTTGGCAAGTCCCGGCGTAGGCCTGCGACCCAGGAAGGAGTGTCGGGAGGGAGGACAGCCGTGGGGACCTGGGCGACCCTCCTGCACGGCCCTGGTGCTCATCCTGGGGAGGACTCACCGGCTGGTGTGTGGAATCCACCGCAGCATCCGCTTCCCCCTGCAGGCAGCCCTGACGTGCTCTTAGCTCAGGAAACGGATGGCCCGACCCTGCCCCCTCACCTGCAGACACTCTGGGGACCAGCAGGAAGGCCCCCCTCTCATAGGACATTGGGAGGACCACAGTGAGAGGTAGACGACGCCCCTAGCTCCCCCCAGCCAACTCCTCTGGTACTTGATGATTAACCAAGTCAGATCACCAGGAGCAGGTCAGCTGCTAACCTTCCACGCTGGTGACACAGGTGTGCCCCAGTCGCTGTCCCCTCCTCCCCACGTCCTCACTGAAAGAAGCCAGGCGCTGCCCCCRGTCCTGCCCTGCTCTCCTCTGCCCCACGGACCCTCCAGTGGGTGGGTGCCAAGCGAGTCCCCTGTCCCTCCCTGCCCAGCCCCGCACCGCAGGCCCCAGGAGAACTGTACTTGGCTAGTTTAGGTTCAGTCGCAGAAACCCCAGCAATAACCCGGTTTGCCCTTGGCGAGCAGCCAGAGGAACACTGTGTGACCTCCTCGCAGCACCGATGTGATCTGAGACGTCTGCGTGTGTTGTGTGAACTGGGCCCTGTCCCCTGGGCGCCGCGGCCACCGACGCCCCCTCTTGGCATTCCCGCTCCTTACATGCAGTGTGAGCCGTCCGCGGCCTACATGGACTTTTTTTTGTAAATTTCACAGTTTCCAGATAGCATTAAACTTTTTATATTACAAAGTTTGCCATGTAAAAAGAACTTCATATTTTTATTGAGACTGCTAAGGCGCTTGGCCTTCTTCCTTTGTGATTTCAGTGTCTATTAAAGCATGAGTTCCCTCGGTTTTAAGTGCTGCCTCTGCGTCTCTTTCTGTCTCTCCGTGGGCCCTCTTCACCGGGCACGTGGCCCTGTCCTCCAGGGGCCAGGTGAGCACTCCCTGTGGGGTGGGCGGTGCTGGGGCCTGGCCAGCTCCTCTGCAGCCCGGCCAGGGGCAGCTGCTGCCCCTTTAGACGCCAACACACCCRTTACCCCCCGACTCCCCATCTAAGGAAACGGGCAAGGCAGTATTTCAGAAATGTCCAAGAAAAGCAGACAGTGGGCAGAGACAGAGGGAGTGTGGACAGAGCAACCCCGACTGCAACCAGAGCCATCTCATGTGGGTGATGATATGTCACCGCGGGGTTTTAGCCAGCTGTGACCAAAGCACCCGGCAGGAACAACTTAGAGGAGGAAAAGTTTATTTGGGCTCATGGTCTTGGACATTCGGTCCCTGGTCAATGACCTTGCAGCTCTGGGCTGAGGTGGAGCAGGACACTGTGGCAGAAGGGCGGGCAGAGGGCAGCAGCTCTGGACGGGGCAACCAGGGACAGACAGCTCTGCTCACCTGGGAAAACAGATCCGAAGAGCTGCCCCAGGGACCCGTTCCTCCCGCCAGCCCTGTCTGCCCGCAGGTTCCACTGGGTCATGCAGTGGGTGGATCACTCCACGGATGAGGTCACGGTCCTCCTAATCTGATCGCTTCACCTCTGCAGGCTCCTGCCTGTGTCCCACTGAGCCTCGAGGGAAATTTCATAGCTAAACCCCAACAAAGGGAGCTGGGGTGTTATAAGTTTGGGAACAGAAAAAGAGTAGATTATTTTTAGAATAAGTTAAATACGCATATTCACACGCAGAAATAGAAGCAGAGGGTTATACTTATATCTAGTTAGTGGAGAATAAATACATCGATTTTAAAAAAGCTGGGAACAGGACTGGGCTGGGGCGGGGCTCAGTGGTGGAGCGCTCGCCTAGCATGCACGAGGCACTGGGTTCGATCCTCAGCACCACACAAATGTAAAACAAAGATATTGTGTCCACCTAAAACTAAAAATTAAATATTAAAAAAGCAAGATAAATAAAATAAAAATAAAAATATTAGTAACGATATAGGTGATATTCCACACACCCTTTGAAAACTAGGTGCTTTTTGGAAGAAAACTCCACTGAGGCACAGGGTCCCACGTGGCTGATATATAAGGATGAGCACAATAAAAGCTGGAGTGACAGGTGCTGAGAAAGAAGACTCACTTCCAAATGGAAACTTGACAAAAAAGCAAAATTCTAAATTTCTACGCTGCTGACTAGCCTCAAAATTCATAAGGGGAAAAACTGGAAGACACAGAAGTTTGGAAAAACAGAGTGTTGCAAAGGGAGATGTTTTGGGGGAGGGTACCGGGGATTGAACTCGGGGCCCTTGACCACTGAGCCCCAGCCCCAGCCCTATTTTGTTAGAGACGGGGTCTCACTGAGCTGCTTAGGGCCTTGCCTTTGCTGAGGCTTTGGACTTGCAATCCTCCTGCCTCAGCCTCCCAAGCCCCCGGGATAAAGGGAGATTTTAGACTCTCAGTAACTGATAGACCAGACAAAAACTACTGCATGCGGGACAGGCTAAGTGCTTCAGCAGACAGGCCTGTGAAGTGCAGTTACAGGAACCTCGTCTCCAGGGTTGAATCCAGTCTCTTCTCATCCCACGTGTCACCATCTTATTCAAATAGACCAGGGACAGGCCAGGTGATCAGTCTCAGCAGACATCAGAGAACTAGTGTCATCGCCACCGCACAGTGC